TGCCTGAGAAGACTGTGAAAATATAGTTCTGGATTAGTCAGTAGATTCACAAGAAAGAATTGGTCATGGAGACTCCATGGCTGTTAGAGAAGGACCAGAGAGCAGGGAGGAAGTGAAACAGGTGATCTTGCCGCATGTTCAGTAGAGGACAGCGTTTCTGAAGGCAGAACAGCAGCAATCACCAACCGGAAGTATGATTGTTATTATGACGTTTCCAGCATTGGGGCTTTCATTTATAATTCAAAACTAGACACCATGAGAACCCTTGGAAATACTGCCTTTAAGGAGTAAGGAACGTGAAATGAAGCACCTTTAAAACCTTGCTTGGAGATATCAGTTTTGTTAAGAGAGCAATAAGCTTTCTGTAAAAAAAAAATGTAATAGTTTATTTGTAACATCATACCATAAGCACACCTGATGACTTATTGTATGTCTTTCCTGAGGTACCACAGACAAGGTGTTTGTTTGCTTGTTTGTTTTTAAGGCTCATTACTTATTAAGGAATTCCTCATTATTAAATTTATTTTCATGCCATTATTAAACATTTGTATATAGTATACATACACAAAGTTCAAAGTTTTCAAAAGATGGAAGTATGCACACCAACAGGCAAACATCAACCCCCCCCACACACATCCACACATTTTTCTATCCTTCCAGAAAGAATTTTAAAACTTCAGTCTTTCAAATGACTCATCACAGGGCTTCAGTTGCCTCATTACTTATGTGTTTAAGATACAAGAGAAATAATTTATGTGATGAAAATAGTTTTCAGAAGAGACAGCAGGATGATCGCACAGAGCAATAGAAGTAGGGAGTGGCCCCTCATTGATCTAAAAATATAAATATGTATATGTATACTGGTGTGTGTATTTGTAGTTGTACTTACTTTATATTTCTTAGCACAAAACAGTTAACAAGGTTTTACTTTGTTGTGTTTCTTGTAAAGATGTATTTTTAGTTCCCATATTTGGCTATCTTAAAAAAATAAGGGACTACTTTTTTTTCCAACTGGTCTAGTAAATCTAAAATTCTTGAATCTGCTGGCTCCCATACACCATGGGAGAATGTAAACTGACAAGATTTGTCATCTTGTTTGACTATCTCAAAGGATAAACTTTGGCTCACGGTACCTTTACCCTTTTCCTTACCTAGGTTTCTTGGAAGGTGAACTTCAAAACAGTTACACTTCTAATAGAACTAAGGACAACAGTTTCAAAGCCGTGTTTCTAATATTTTTTTCTACAGTCACATTTGACCTGTCATTTAAAGACTTGATCTAGAGTACATGGCAAATACAAAGGTCACACTGCTTTCATTTTGTGCAGCTGAGTTAATCCTCTAGATTCCACAGCAGTCTGTAAAGTAATAACAGGGACCCAGCGGTCCAATGCATCCCAGTTAGAATTCTTGCCATGCCCCGTTGCTTCCCCTGGAGTAAACTCTGCGCTTGGAAGGGCATCAAGTCCCTCAAGTCACTGTCACTCACCATTTCTGTTAGAAACAAGTAATTTCATACTCAGAAGGTGCTCTTGGAAAAGCCACACCCCCCACTGAGCAGCTTTAATTTCCCAAATTACCTGTATGCTTTGAGTAAACACCTCATTTAAGGACAAGGTCTTCAGTTCACCTAAGAGGCTGTGTGACTCTTCAGTGAAGATAAGAATAAAATAAGCACACACTTGCAGATTTATTTGTTCTTTCATTTTAAGAAGAAACAAGAAAATCCTGATTCTGAAGATCAAGGTTTAATCTTACATTTTGCTTTTGTATTTCTGTGAGACCCTCTGCCCTGTCACTCAGAGTTTTGATTGATGCTAGAACACATCAGACTAAGCTAAGATTTAAAACCTCATGATCAATGGTGGCTCACACCTTTAAGGCAGAGGCATGTGGATTTCTGAGTTCAAGTCCAGCCTGCTCTACAGAGTGAATTCCAGGACAGCCAGGTGTACATAAAGAAACCCTGTCTGGAAAACAAGCAAACAAACAAAAAATAATTAAGACCTCATGATCAAAAATTTTTACCTTAGGCAGCACGTTGCATTCTGCCTTCAGCTCTCTTGCTTTCTTTCCTTTTTGATCCCGATGTCATTTTTTTTTCACTTGCTTGCTTAATGTCTTTCCTGGCTGGTCCATGTGATGGAAGCTGGTGACATAGAGCCTGCTAACAAGATTAAGCTAGATGTTCTTCTCCTGAAGGAGATGTGGTGGAACTGAGCTATAGTAGGGCTTTGACAGAACTTTGAAAGCTTCTGACCTGCTAGCCAGGTTTCATTCTTCCATGTCTTCTTGTTTGATAATAGACCCTTCTCTCTCCAGCCACGGTTAGTGATTTATAATCTGCAAATACATCTTCTGAAATGCAAACCAAAGCCATGGTCAGGGCCATGCTGGGGTTCAGGTTAGTGAACACTGATGGCTATTCATTACTAAATGTGCTAGACATCCTTCCTAGAGTTAAACCTTGAAATGCATAAGTCAGCTTCTACCCACATGAAATACTACAGAAGCAGCATTAACGGTTAAAAACAGAAAACATAGAAGTTGCAGTCCATTGTACGAGAGTTTTGTTCTTTGCTCTGTAATTTATGAAACAAGACCTTGGATTCATCCTGAAACACATTACAACTGTGCTAATCCCACAGATTCCCAATAACCTTTAATAAGCAGGTTGAATTTCATGTATTATTTCATTTTTTACCTGCTTGGCTCAAAAGATATTCCAAGTAGTTGATGCTGAATATCAATATGTGAAATTAGCACTAAGCACTATTCCAGTATCCTGAGACATGCTAAGTGAAAGTTGTACATAGTAACCTAGCAGTTAATCCCATGTGCTATATTCTGACAGTGTTCTAAGTGTTTCATGTGTGCGTGGTTCACTCTATGATACCTTTAACATCCCTAATTCATCTGCAAGGCAAGGAGTTTAGGGGATATACAACTAGCCCAAATGAAAAGTTATACATTGCACAGTGATATTATACCAGGGTCTCTATCACATAAAAAGTCTTATTCTTATATATGCTGCTATGACCTTTTACTTTGCATGTTGGATATTGGAGTTAACTTTAAATTGAACAACCTGGACATATCACACAACTGAGGACTCTTGTAGAGATGTGCAGTGTTTCTGTTTATACTCCAAGTCAAGTATGGCATAAAGCCCAGGTGTGTCCCTCAAACACTAAGCATCAGTGGCCCCTATGGCTATTGGTGAACATGGTTAGTCAGAAGCATCTTTTCCTCCCCTGCGTAGGATGGCTAGAAATGTTTGTTAGAATTTAGATACAGACCTGGAATAGTGGGTGGTGGTGGTGTGCGTAGGGTTAGGTATAGGTATAAGTGTAGGTATAGGTATAGGTGTAGGTGTAGGTGTAGGGGTAGGGGTAGGGGTAGGGGTAGGGGTAGGAATATTTACGTGGGGTAAAGTAGAAAGGAGATTTGTCTTTTTCTCCTCAGATTCTCTTATGATAATGAGATAATGATTGGAATACATAAAAATGTTTAATGAACTGTGTAATTCATTTTAACTAACTACTCTATAAATTCATTTTTTGTCTGCTTGCATTAACTATAGAAAATGAGAACATTGGTAAATTTGTCACACTTTTAGTTTTTGAGATTTGGGGCTAATATCATAAATGCAATGATATGCTAAATTTTGAGTGTCAATTCTGGTCGCAATAACATCAGACTACCTGATTTCAGATATTTTTATGTTGAATCAGAGCCTCTTGTATATATGTCAATAAATAAGTTTTGAGCTTGGTCTCAAGGTAAGTGGTTACTCTAACTAGTGATTTGTACATCATAAAGATTCATGGCCAAGGTTTGTTCAGTAGCAATTGTCCTAAGGCTGCAAGGACTGCCAAGCTATATAAAGGAAGCTTTTATAGTCTGGACAAGAGGTATGTTTGTCCTAGAGCTCTTACACCTTTTCTTTCTCATATCTCAAGAATCCTCAATAGAATGTGTCAAGGTCAAAGACATAAAGTGCTAACCAGGGAACCCCAGGGATGCCAAGATCTGAAAATAACAGCTGGCTTTCTAAAAGCGAAAGCCCTGCTGACTTGGCAACTTATATTATTGTGGTGCTCATTGGAAAGAGCCATGAAGTCCTTGGAGGATGAAGGCAGGAAACTAAAGGGTAAGAATAATAAAGATAGAAGTGATAAGTGTAAAGGAAGTTGTGTGCATGCACATGTGCTAGAAAGAGAGAGAGAGAGACAGACAGATAGACACACAGACACACAGACAGAGAGAATAGAAAGAGGGCAAATAAAGGGAACATCAACTGAAATAGTTGCTTTGTGTTAGAAAATAAGTATAATTTTCAGTAGACTTGAAACTTTTAAATTTTGAAGAACCTATCTCCAACCTTACCAAAGTGTGTCACCAGCATTAAGACTACCCTTCTGATGCCTAGTCTCAGCTGAAATGAGATATATGAATGCTGCTTGAAGTGCTCTAGAATAGCATGGTACAAATGTGAAATCAAATGGAAAACATACGTGCAAAAGCATGTCCTTGTGACCATAATGATAAGATGCAAGTAAAGTGTGTTTCCTTAAAGTTTTCCTGTCAGTGTTTTTCAAATTTACTGCACTAGAAAATCTAGCTGGACTTATTTAGCCTTGAAAGATTTGGGGCTCTTACTGATGGTCAGGGAGCTGTTCCATTTCTCTTGACTTTGCATCTACTTTTCTGGTATTTAAATGAAGAAAAATGGAATCGAAACAAAATTTATCACTTACCATAAAGTCGTTAATATTGTTTGAATCCCATTATTTATAACGATTGCTGTGCATGTAATTCCCAATTTTACAGTGGCTTACAGACACCTCCTGTCTATTAGCCATATCTTAATATATGCTTCAAAGCAATGACATAGAGAATGGCATTCTCTATCAGATAGCCCTTTTATTAAACAAAAAGTCTGAAAGCACATGAAATTATTTTCTGCTTCTCCATCACTACTTTTTTTGTCATTATAGCGGAAAATGGGCCCCGCCTCCTCGTGGAAGCAGAGCAAGCCAAGGTCTTCTCACACAGAGGTGGCAATGTGACACTGCCCTGCAAATTCTATCGAGACCCTACAGCATTTGGCTCAGGAATCCACAAAATCCGCATTAAGTGGACCAAGCTAACTTCAGATTACCTCAGGGAGGTGGATGTCTTCGTTTCCATGGGATACCACAAGAAGACCTATGGCGGATATCAGGGTCGAGTGTTTCTGAGGGGAGGCAGTGACAATGACGCCTCCCTGGTAATCACAGATCTCACCCTCGAGGATTATGGAAGATACAAGTGTGAGGTGATTGAAGGACTAGAAGATGATACTGCTGTGGTAGCATTGGAGTTACAAGGTAGGTATCCATAAAGGTTGCTAAGCTATGAAGGAATAATTACTCACTGCTTTTTTGTTTTCATGAGGATAACATGTAGTGGTTATCACAGTAGTAACGTGACGACGCAAAAGTCTAAGCCTACAATTTTTTATTCTTTTATATTTCGCAGTCTCATATGATTTCAACTTTCATGTTTGAGAAGTATGCACAATACTTCTGTGGAAAATTGAAGCTATTTACAGGGGGAAATGTGCAGTGAAAGTGAATTAATAACTTTTGGAAATAGTCTTATGCTATTCAAAACTTAAATCCCATTTTCTGCTTACTGAGAAATTCAAATTAGATTCTTTCATTATGCTTCTAAAATTATCTCCATTTCAAACTAATGGTAAGATTTGTAAAGGACATCTGCAGTGCAATACATGTATTGTATTCTGTAAAATGTCTGCAAAAGTTAATTTAACAGAAAAAGTAACCTCTGGGTTTACTTAAATATTCTTGCAAAGAAGTAATTCTTTTAATTACCCAGGGTCTTTTACACATCAAATGATGGAGGCATTTTGGGAGGATTTCTATTTTGTGAACATATTACATTCAATAGATTCAAAAGTCAACATGCAGGCAAGCTATGCAGGCAAATGTGTCTTTGCCATCATCTTGGTTCCTTTTTTACAAGATTTATTAACTATGCATACAGTGTTCTGTCTGCATGTATGCCTGCAGGTCAGAAGACGGCACCAGATCTCATTACAGATGGTTATGAGCCATCATGTGGTTGCTGGGAAGTGAACTCAGGAGCTCTGGAAGAACAGCTGAGCCATCTCTCCAGCCCTTCACCTAGCCTCTTAGTCCTCATTCTAGGAAAACTTTGTTGTTGAGAGTTTCTTATATAGTTCAAGCCATCTTGCTTTCATGAGTTTCACCAGTGTTCTTCACTGAAGAATGAAACTGGATGCATTGATAGGATGGCTTCTTTCACAAAATCACAGATACACATTTGCTAGGAGCTTTTATCCTGTCCTAGAACAAATTTGTGACTTTTGAAAACGACAAACACTAAATACTGGCTCTTCCAAATCCCACAAGAGTCCATAAGGCATGTAGAGCTGCATCAGTTTGATCTTCATGGTAAAATGCAACATGAAGCTGCATGGCTGCAGAATATACATTCTAACTGTAAAGAAGTTCAGTGTGATGTGTCGACTGTGGGTCTAGTTCATTCTAGTGTGGGATGCTTTTTTCTTTCAAAATTTTTGTACCAAAGTTAATTACTAAACTTTTAGAGAAAACAATAAAATGCAAGCAAAAGGCTTATGACTTCATAAAAGGATTGTATTGCATTATGTTAAAATAGAAAACAACTTAAATATAAATATAATAGACTGAATTTGAGATAATCAGAGACTATTAAAAACTTTTCTACTGCCCATAAGAAGCACTGTGACACATGAAGTTGAATTTAAATCTGAAAGATTTGGGGGGTCTTTAAAACTATTAAAAATTAAGGTATCCTATATTTCCCACTGTTTCCATCATGAACCAACTGGGGGGAAAAGGTGACACAAATAATTTATATCTTCAGATAAAGATGTGGGGGAGGGTATCTGCCACTTGATTTCTAGCTGTGAAGTGAATCATTGCACTATAGATTATCCTCCGTCTTGGGGACACATCTAGGATTGTGAAGCAAAGAGAACAAATGTCTTGGATAGAGAGAGCATTGTAGCACTTCCATTCTGTGGTCATGGGCAGAGAGCATCCTGAGAACCATCTCCGGGCTCCTCTTCCCCTTACCGCAGCAGGAGTCAGAGGCTGTCCTTCTTCTGTCGGCTGTGATCCAGCTGATAGATCCCTCAGCCAAGAACCCAAGAAAGCAGAATGAGATCAGAAGGCCTTCCTGGATCCTGGCCTGCAGAGACCTGTGCCAGCTGGACTGCTCTACAGGGACAAGGGGCGAGAGTTGATTTAAAGCCTCAAAGTCCTCTGGTAGAAACATCCAGAATCATTTAGAAAAGCACACACTAGCCATGATTGGTTGTTAGAGAACTGTTCATCATCTTGACTAGAATCTGCTGTTTTGTAGCACGTAATTTAATGCCCATACAATTACTGGGCCAGTGGGACAAGATTCCTGCATTCCATGTGCTAAGACACTAATTAGTTGCAATAATATTTCTAAGAATGCTTGCTCTGGATTATCTTTTATTAACTATGGGGTAGATACTTTGACTTGTGTCTCCCTTAATATATAGTTAATGACACAATTCTGAATTCTTCACTTGGGGATCCATCCTAAAAACAAACAAACAAGCAAACAAAACAAAACAAAAAGATCTGTGGGACATGAGACAGCTCAATCTCCTCCAATAACTATTGACCAAAAGAAATGCTTTTGAGGTACGGTAAAATACCAATTCATGCTCTCTGCTTTTACTGAAGATTGTCCTCCGAAATCCTTGACTCTTCAGCACTCTAACCCATTCGCTAATGGATGTTTGCTCCGTACTCATCTTGTATAGCACAAGTTTAAGGAAGCAATTTTTTAGGTCAATTTTTATTGAAAGCATTTTCAAAACCTCAGTTTTAGTTTTGTGTTGTAACATATAAATAGAGAAGCTAAAACTGAAAACCGTTTTCAGGTCCCTTCCACGCAGTACCTCTCTGGTGCCAGGAGACATGCCTTTATTTCTCAATAGAGTTTGTTTGCCTGGCCTGTAAATACATAAGACTGGAACTGTTTTAAGTAAAAGCCCTTGTTTTATCTGTGCCAAGGTTAGGAAACAACAGTTAAAGAAATAGTTAATAGTTGAAACAAAGAGTTATGAAGCTTTGCGTGGGGTGTGTATCATTAGTACAGAATAACATTATTAATAAGAAACAAGGCTACTGGGGCTTTTGTTAGACATGCACATTCAAGTTTCTCCAAGGAATAATCCCAAGGGGACAGTCACTTACTTGCATTGTTTCAGGAGCACGAGTGAGAAGGTAGGTGTACACACATAGTTGAAGCGTTCAACATATATACACCTTTACATGTGTCGAAGACTATATGAAACTAATTGCTAACTCCATAACAGTAATGGCCATGAAAAACATTGCGAATTTTTTTAAATTACCATGTTCCTCAGCACTACATTCCCCACCATCCTTACTGTTAGTCTGACTGTTCCCTTCCCAGAAAAATTCAGCAGTCTTTATCCTGCACTTGGTAGCTAGTAGCAGGGAACATGTTCTCAAGACACTGTTTAGATACTATAACCCATGGCTGCATCTCTTTCAGAAAGGAGACCTTTTTAGCACAAGTTTCTCTTGGGACTAGAGACAAATCACTGAAGTTGCCTACCCAAGTAACAAACAGAAAATTGTGTGATGCTTGCCACAAAGTGTGTGCCATGGAAAGGGGCTGTGAGAGACCACTGAAAGCTGACCAAAAGCTAGTTGATCTGGAAATCACGCTTTTTCTCCACACAGATCTAGACATGGATGTGCTCAGTGTTTTATCACTAATGAGGTTTCCCTTGTCTTCTTTGGACAGGTGTAGTGTTCCCTTACTTTCCACGGCTGGGACGCTACAATCTGAATTTTCATGAGGCACGGCAGGCTTGTCTGGACCAGGATGCCGTGATTGCTTCCTTCGACCAGCTGTATGATGCCTGGCGGGGTGGGCTGGACTGGTGCAACGCTGGCTGGCTCAGTGACGGATCTGTGCAGTACCCTATCACCAAACCACGCGAGCCCTGTGGGGGCCAAAACACAGTGCCTGGCGTCAGGAACTACGGGTTTTGGGACAAAGATAAAAGCAGATACGATGTTTTCTGTTTTACATCCAACTTCAATGGTAAGATGCTAGTTGCATTGCCTCGCTTTCTATTCCAGAGAACAGGTTGTCGTAACACACTGTTTGTATTTTGGTGTTATCTTCAAAGAGCAAAACGAATCAATAACAATAAAAAAACCAACCATTTAAGCTATTACAGTATTTTAAAAAGATAGACAAAATGTTTTTAAATCTTGAATGTTATAATTTTTTAAGTGTCTATATAAATCAAACAAAACTACCTAGCTCTGGTCCTGCTACATATCAACCATCCTGTCTGTATGAAGTAGTTGTAGTCGTCCAGTGGTAACACGTCCCACATTGCCATGTGCTGTCTCTGAACCATTGCTCTCTCTGCTGGTGGGCGGAGCTTCGCTGCCATAGCCCTCCCTTGCCCGGTCACAACATTGTGATCAGCAAAGTTCAGACCAAAGGAGCGCGAAGTGTGCAAATAAAGCACAATTAGCATTGGGAGATAAAGGTGGGGGTAGGGTTCCACAATGACATGGATGACTCGTCGCATCCTTCCCACTCCAGGACCTTTTGGTGTGCTGTCTCGATCATAATCTTGGGGGCCTATCACAAAATGGAATGTAGAAGCCTCAGTTCAAAACTGATTAAGAATTTTAATAATATCTTAAAGTAATTATTCTAACTTTAATAATATCAAATTAATTATGTCAAATAATTATTAATAAAATATATTAATAACTAATAATGTTGAAGACGGTAGAAGCCTGTAATCCTATCATTTGGTAGACTGAGGCTAGCGGATTGTAAATTCAAGGCAAGCCCAAGCTATTCAGTGACACTGTCTGGAACAAGGCCAAAACCCAAAACACTGAAAATGCTTTCAGACTCCAGTCTTAGCATAAACATAGGGCCTTCTACTTACTTAGTCAGTGCAAATGCACCAGTCACATGCTTGTGAACCAAGGTCTGAGCCCATAGATTTGTATTTAAGGTCCCTGGAAACAGATTTAGGGGGAAACAAAAAGGAATGGGTAGTCAATATGTTCTCTCTGCGAAAAAGGAAAAGATGTGAGACAAATTTTACTTTGCTGACCATGTGGTCACTGCTACCCAACTGAGCTTTGAGTGCTGTAGCTCTGGCCATCACAGTACTGAAGCCACTCACGCTATTGAACAGACAGATATGTGTCCCAGGCAAACTTCATTCTCAAACATGTAGAGCGTAAACTTGAACTATGGTTTACTGATCTGTCTAGCTGGCAGACCAAACTCCCTAGTTAGTGACTGTTGCAATGGCTTCTAAGCTTATACAATTTCATTAGTTTAGGGAAGCAAGACCGGTAGCATTAGTTTAGACTTTTGCTGCCTGCTTAGAGATAGGGGAACACCTCAGTTGTAAAACCCTTGCTTCCCAAGCACGAAGACCTATATTAAGTCCTGAGAACTCAAGTCAAAATGCCAGATATGCCGGGGTGCACTTATAACCCCATCAATGGAGAAGCAGAAACGAGGGCATCCCTGGGACTCACTAGCCAACTAGGCTGCTTTAATGAGAGGCCCTGTATCAAAGGACGTAAACAGTATTTCTGGGTATGACACCAAGAGTCATGTCTATAGCTGCCACATGCATGCATTCAAAACCATAAACCAATGAACACACTCACACACACACACACACACACACACAGAGAGAGAGAGAGAGAGAGAGAGAGAGAGAGAGAGAGAGAGAGAGAGAGAGAGAGAGAGAGAGAAAACACCATACTTAACGAGGGCTAGTGAACATTACATTATATGATGTGTCTGCTAAGAAAATGTGATATTATACTTGAAACTAATATGACTGAGAAAATATTCAGTGTTGGTCCCTTCAGCTCATTTATGATGCATTTTGTACTTGTTCTCATATTTCATCGTGTTAATGGGAGTTCAGTAACTAATGCAGCAGTAAGTGGTTGAAAGCAACAGTGTTCCTATGCAATGAAGAAACAGCATGGTGTCAGGCTTCACTGGACGTTTTAAAACATCAACAAACCCTCTGCCAGTAAGAGAGTACAGACCGGGTTTACATTCAGTGAACGTATCATTGATGGTCAATGACTTCCTGTGTTTGAGGCATTTTTATGCTGTAAGCTTTGACTGAGAATAAAATCTTATTGATACCTGTAATGAAAAGAACTTGAGGGCTTTTGATTTTCTTAAATGGACTTTTATGTCAGGAATGTTTTTTGATCCTTTCACATTCAAATTTTGCCTCTCTAGAAACTTGTACTGGGGTTCAGTCTTGCTACAAGCAGAATTTAAATAGCTCTTCTTTCAGTGTGGAATTCTGTCTTCCCTAGAACCACAGAAGGCTCTTTTAGTCTCTAATTAGCTAACAGAACTGCATCTGCCATCGCAGGGGGAAAGCAATTTTATTTCATCTAGAGTGACCTATTAATATGACATTTAAATGGCGATTCTACGTCCTCCAAATTCCAGGCGTTGCTCTGCTTCTCCCATTCATTGAGAAGCATGTCAGCTTTTGACTCCTTCCATATGTGTGGTTCTGTCACAGGCTGGCTGACTCTCTCTCCTTCTCTCCACAGGCAGATTTTACTACCTGATCCACCCCACCAAGCTTACCTACGACGAGGCGGTGCAAGCTTGTCTCAATGATGGTGCTCAGATTGCAAAAGTGGGCCAGATATTTGCTGCCTGGAAGCTTCTGGGCTATGACCGTTGTGATGCCGGCTGGCTGGCGGATGGCAGTGTCCGCTACCCGATTTCTCGGCCAAGAAGGCGCTGCAGCCCTACCGAGGCTGCGGTGCGCTTTGTGGGCTTCCCGGATAAAAAGCATAAGCTGTACGGGGTGTATTGCTTCAGAGCATACAACTGAAATGTGCCCTAGAAAGAGTCAGTTCTCGAGTCAAAGGGAACACGTGAAAGATTCTTTTTGTTTGTTTGTTTCTGTTCTTGTTTTTAATATGAACTCATGCAAGTTACCAAAACTGTGATAACCCTTTCTCACTTACTGTAAAGAATCGTTTTCATAAAGACCAATTCATTCATTTGTTTTGTAAAGCTATCAGTCAATGCATATTATAAATTAATATAAGAATAAGGGAAGCTAAAGAGTGGGCGTCAGAGCCTAACTGTTTTATGCTACATCATCTCAACAAAATGCCATTTCACGAACAGGGCATGCAATAGTCTGAGGATAACCAGGATTGTGTTAAGGAAAATAAGCAGCAACTTCCACAAGCACAAATTGTACATATTTCTACAACTTTGAAATATACTTCACTAAACAAATTAATTAGAACCACAAATTTGAAATACTGGCTTCTTTACAGAAACTGGGATTCTGGGAGGTGCAAAAAACTCAGTTTCACAAGGGAACAATGAACACTTTTTCTAAAAGTTAATACTTCAAGTCTCCAGTATACAAAATAGTTTACTATTTAAAATTCTATCTTTTTGACTAAAATGAAAAGCATATAGACTCAGATGCATAATAATTAAACCACAGTTAGCACTCCTAGGTCAACCCATTTATATGAAGTATAGACTTGTATACACAGATAATATTTTACCAATGAGAGATTGCTACCTTCTAATTAAAATTACCTATCAGAAAAAATGTTCTATCATTTTTGAGTAGCTTCACTGAGTTATATTTAAATTCTAAGGGATCTTTGCTAAGCGGTATTTAGAATTTACTCAGGGCAGTTGAAAAGATAAACTGCTGGACAGAAAACATATAAAATGTAGCAGCTTGATTTTATGTTAGCTTATAAAACACTATTGTCCTATAAAAATAACTTTATCCTATTTAATATTCCTTTCTTATTTACATTACATAATGAAAATCATCCAAATGAGTGAGCAGCTCTACACTTGCTTAACTAAGAAATCGAGACTCAACTTGCAAAATTGTTGTTCCTGTTTGTACACAAAATAGAGACCCTAAATAGGACCTATGTTTAGGAGGGAAAAGTAAAAACAAAATGCAGCTTTAAAGAGTCTCTCAAATAGAAAATACAGTGACTGTCAGCCTCCTTTCTGGTTAACATTTGGCAGAAATAAAATACAACACTCACACCGAAGACTACATCATCAAGCTTTAAAAGAAAAGTCAAGTCCAGGCTCAGAAAAAAGTTTTTCAATTTTAGCAACTCCAATCTCAAATAAAACTTTCTTTTACTGACTGCTGAGACCCCACAGGGACCAATATTTGTATTCAAGTAATTTTCTGGTTTCCCATTGTTTCACAGTGAATTCTGGTGAGTGGGCCTTAGTATAATAATCCAAGTGCAGCATAGCTGGTGTGTTGCTGTCAATGTAGATTCCTCCCAATGAACGTGAGTAAATAAATCTGTTTCCTGAATTGACTGTGGTTGCATCTAAAGCTCTATAATAACGGTAATACATTTTCTCTATAAATATTGAGTTATGTATATGGAAGGTATAGTGCAGTTGGAAGTCCATGAAACCATAACTCTCGTGATGTAATATCTAGATAAAGTATGGTAAGTCCACCTAGATCCTTTCTTTGAGATGCTTTAGTTTTAGAGCATGAAGATGTAGTTTTAAGTTAGGATACACAAATTACACAAGACTATAAATCCAAAGAGATGATGAGGTTTCATGCAAATACTCCTGATTGAACTCAGACTTCTAAGCTGGACACAAGTTAAAGATAATGAATGGTCTAGAATATAAAGAGTATATTATTTAAGGAGGAGACTGTGAACACCTTATGGGCAGGATTAAGCTCTTTGGAGGAGGACCGTACTTGAATAATCATTACCTATACTATAAGAATTTTGTCTGAAATGAAAGTAGGAAAATTTTGTATTGAAGTGGGTGCATTCCTTTTAGTTATCGTCATAGAACTCCACATTTAAATACAGTAGCATTTCTTAACTTTTGAATACTTAGTATAGGAAACGGTGCTGAACAAAATCTCCAAAGTGACTGTTAGCTGACTTACATCTGTACCAACTGCATACCATTTGTCCATTCTTGAAAAAAAAATCCTAGAATGAACACTGCTGGGCAGAGTTTTTAACTTCTGACTTCCCACAAAGGACCAGAATTCTGGTGCCTTTGAACTCGTAATTTAAAAGGGGTCTTTTAATGTTCTTGTCTCTCTGTTTTATTCCACTGAATATCTGTTTTCATACTTCATATCTCACTATGGATGTCTTCAAGAGAAAAGTTCTCCTAGTACAATTCAGGCATCACTCTGTAGACTTCAAGATTCCCAGAGTATCAAAGGAAGGAGATTACAAATAGATTACAAAATGTTTTCATCATTTTATCTCATGGCCCATATAAAGAACAAATTATATCTACACGCTTACTAAGACTCCCTCTTTCATTTGAAAACCCTAAGCCAAAAAGAACAAAGTCATATAAAAATACAATATAGGGATGAAGATAGGTTGTCATGTTAACACTGGAAGTCATCTTTTAATGACTGCTGCCATATTTTGTCACAGCAATATTTAGCCAAATATAGTATTCATAAATTTAAATTTTCTTTCATAAGAAGGGGGCCGGCACCTGGTAGTGTTATTTTTTGCAGTAAGATGGTCACTTGCTTTTTTGGCAATTAATGAACTCAAATAAGATTCCAATTTGGTTGCTGGCAGCCATACTAGGTTTCTTGATTTCAGTACTCCTGAAAACATGCTTGTGTCATGGAGTAGCTGACCACTAACGAAGGCAGGATTAGAAGGGAATCAATCATCAGGTTTGGTTTAGTTTTGTTTCTTGTTTTTTTCTTTTATTTGCTTGTTTCACATTGATTTTGCATAGAATACTTAGAGAAAAATCAGTTGGCAGCCAGACAACTTTTTTGAGAAGTTAATTGTGTCATATCTCAAGATTGCCAGAACAGCACTGTACAGAAAAAGTTATGAATAATACAGAAGTCATTAAGTCACAAATTGGAAGAAAAGTTAATATTTAAATGCATTTAATAGCCACTAAGTGCGAGTTTGAGGACAACCAATCTGTATTACAATAAGACTGTTTCTGTAAGATACAATGGACTGGTAACAAACATTAAAAGTCAATTTTGCTTTACTACAGTATCATTTGATTCTTGTAACTGCTAGAATCAGTCATTTTTGGGGGTGGGTCAAACCTGGTAAATACAACAGGCAGTGGTCTGTTGCTGGGGCAATGTTTTGAATGAAAACAAAACCAAAGGAGTTAGACTTTGACATTCAGACAAGAAAGAGAACTTCACAACTCCCCCATACTTATCCGGCCCACATTAAACAGCCTTGAAGAAAAACAGTTTCCAATAGAGAGGTCAATTAAATCTCCTTTTATTGTGTAAACTCTTTCAAAATGAGGAATATCATTTTCATTCAGTCATTGTTTTCATATATTTTTAATGTTGTTATAAACAAAGTATATGAGGCAAGATGAAAGATCCCATAGAGGTTATTAGTCCCCAAATAAAAGTATTTAAACCATTCAAGTGTGATGTGTTACTTCCCTCCCAAGGACATGGCTTAATACTACAACCAGATGAATAAGGAGAGTAATAGGAGGGAGGGATTATTAAGTGGCATGTAGCCTACTGAATTTAAGAAGAAACTGACATACTGCTGGCTTCTACTTCAATTGCTTGGTCACTTCATTTATGATCTTTAAAGGCTCAGCAGGCTATAGCATGAAAAAAATAAACGACCCAGCAACTGATATTGGGGTTCAAGCTGAATATGAGGGAAGGAAAGTAGTGGGTAGGTCTTATCATTACCTCACGCTGAATGGGCTGACCCTGCTGTCTCTTCTCAGCGTGGCTGGATATGAATGCCCAATCATCAGTGTGGCTGGTGAACGAATGCCTCCTACTGAATGCTGAAGGCTCTGCTTCTATCTTCTATACCACTCTAGTGCTGGGATTAACATCCTATGATTTGTTACTCTTTTAGACTGATTCAGTCTCATGTATGCCTTGACCTCAGACAGATTCATCTAACTCTTAATCCTGAATCCTAGGATTAAACGTGTGTACACTACATCCTAGCCTCTGACTACTGGGATTCTATGGCTTGTGTCTGACTTTGCTTTCTGAATCCCTGGCAAGTTTCAGTAAATCATAAACAATATATCACCACAATTCCTCTTTATTGTTTAAAACAAAAAGAGAACTATAACTAACATAAGAAAAACAATATACAATAAATACTATGAGTATATAGAATAGATATAAACAGTGAGTTTGTCAACAATGTCTAGCTCATTTACATTGGACAAATACAGAGAAAATACTTCATTATCTGTCCCATCTTGGTGAGTCCAAAGTATTGTACCTAGTTTAATTTCTATTCTAATTTTCATTATCAAAATATCTTTTAATGTCTTTCTTTTTTAATTTTTATTTTTAAATTTAAATAGAAACAAGGTTGCTTCACATGTCAATGCCAGGTCCCTCTCCCTTTCCCTCCACTCCTCCCACACCCTCCCTCCAACCCCCCCCATACCCCATCCTTTCCCCAGGGAGGATAAGGCCCTCCATGGGGGTGTCCATAGTCTGTCATTTTATCCAGGGCAGGACCTAGACCCTCCCCCTAGAGTCCAGGGTGACAGTGCATCTCTCATTGTGGGATGGGCACCCAAAGTCCATTTGTATGCCAGGGGTAAATACTGATCTACTACCCAAGGCCGCATAGATTGCCTAGGTCTCACCACCCACATTCAGGGGGTCTTGATCAGTCCCATGCTGGATTCCCAGCCATCAGTCTGGAATTCAAGAGCTACCCCTTGTTCAGGTCAGCTGATTCTGGGGGTTAAACGAGGCCAGTCTTAACCCCTTTGCTCATTAGTCCTCCGTCTCTGTCACTGGGTTCATTGAGTTCAGCTCAGTGTTTAGCAGTGGGAGCCTGCTTCTGCTTCCATCAGTCATTGGATGAAGGTTCTGTTTTCCAGACTCTCTGGCCACGGGATTGTAGGCTGGCACTCCCCAGATCTTTGTCTAAAATCTATATAAGAGAGTGTATATACCGTGTTTGTCTTTTTGTGACTAGGTTACCTCACTCAGGATGGTATCTTCCAGTGCCATCCATTTGCCCCCAAATTTCAGGGTTCCATTGTTTTTTCTGCTGAATAGTACTCAATTGTGTAAATGTACCACTGTTTCTCTATCCACTCTTCAGTTGAGGGGCATATAAGTTGCTTCCAAGTTCTGGCTATTACAAATAATGCTGCTATGAACATAGGGGAACAGATGTCCTTCTTGTATGAATGGGCATCTTTTGGATATATGCCTAAGAGTGGAATTGCTAGGTTTTATGGTAAATTGATTCCCATTTTTCTGAGGAATCTTCATACTGATTTCCAAAGTGGATGTAAAGGTAGGCACTCCCCCCAGCAGTGGAGGGGTGTTCCCTTTTCTCCACATCCTTTCCAACATAAATTGGTGTTTTGGATTTTAGCCATTCTAACAGGAGTAAGATGTTATCTCAGAGTTGTTTTGATTTGCATTTAACTGATGGCTAGGGATGTTGAGCACTTTTTCAAGTGCCTCTCAGCCATTTTAGATTCCTCTATTGAGAATTCACTGTGTAGTTCTGTAACCCACTTTTTAATTGGATCCTTTGGTGTTTTGGAGACTTGCTTCTTGAGTTCTTTGTAAATTTTGGAAATCAGCCCTCTGTCAGATGTAGGGTTAGTGAATATCTATTCCTATTCTGTGGGCTGCCTTTTTGTCTTGTTGACTGTGTCCATTGCCTTACAGAAGCTTCTCAGTTTCAGGAGGTCTCATTTATTAATTGTCAATGTCAGTGTCTGTGCTACTGGTGTTATGTTCAGGAAGAAGTCTCCTGTACCAATTCATTCTCTTCTAAGAGGTTAGGTGTAGCTGGATTTATGTTGAGGTCTTTGATCCATTTGGACTTAAGTTTTGTACATGGAGATAGACATGGATCTATCCGCAGTCTTCTACATGTCAGCATCCAGTTATGCCAGCACCATTTGTTGAAGATCCTTTCTTTTTGCCAGTTTATAGTTTTAGCTTCTTCATAAAGATCAGGTGTTCAGACATGTATGGGTTAATATAGGGGTGTTCAATTCAATTCCGTTGGTCTACCTGTCTATGTTTGTGCCAATACCAAGCTGTTTTAAGGACTACAGCTTTATAATAGAGCTTGAAGTCAGGAATGGTGATGCCTCCAGATGTTGCCTTGTTGAATAAGGTTGTTTTGGCTATCCTGGGTCTTTGATTATTGTCTGTGAAGAATTGTGCTGGTATTTTAATGGGGATTGAATTGAATCTGTAGATTGCTTTTGGTAGGATTGCCATTTTCACTATATTGATCCTACCTATCCAAGAGCATGGGAGATCTTTCCACCTTCTGCTGTCTTCTTTAATTTCTTTCTTTAAAGATTCAAAGTTCTTGCAATACAGATCTTTCACTTGTTTGGTTAGTGTTACCCAAGGTGTTTTATGTTGTTTGCGGCAATTGTAAAGGGTGATGTTTCTTTGATTTCTTTCTCAACCCTTTTATTGTCTGTATATAGTAGGGCTACTGATTTTCTTGAGTTGATCTTGTATCCTTCCAATTTGCTGAAAGTATTTATCAGCTTTTGGTGTTCCCTGGTAGAGTTTTTTGGATCACTTATGTAAACTATCTTATCATCTGCAAATAGTGAAAGTTTGACCTCTCCCTTTCCAATTTGTATTCCCTTGATCTTCTTTGGTTGTCGTATTGCTCTAGCTAGAAATTCAAGTACAATATTGAAAAGGTGTGGAGAGAGTGAACAGTCTTGTCTTTTTCATGATTTTAGTGGAATTGCATTGAGTTTCTGTTTATTTAGTTTGATTTTGGCTGTTGGTTTGCTGTATACAGCTTTTATTATGTTTAGCTATGTTCCTGTTATCCCGGATCTCTCCAAGACCTTTATCACGATGGTGTGTTGGATTTTGTCACAAGATTTTTCTGCATCTAGTGAGATGATCCTGTGTTTTTTTTTGTTTCTCAGCTTGTTTATATGGTGGATTACAGTGATGGATTTTTGTATGTTGAACCATCCTTGCATCCCTGGGATGAAACCTACTTGATCGTGGTGAATGATTGTTTTGATGTGTTCTTCGATCCAATTTGCCTGTATTTTATTGAGTATTTTGCATCAATGTTCATGAGGAATATTGGCCTGAAGTTCTCTTTCTTAGTTGTGTTTTTGTGTGGCTTGGGTATCAAAGTTATTGAAGCCTCATAGAAAGAGTTTGGCAAAGACCCTTCTGCTTCTATTGCATGGAATACTTTTAGAAGAATTGATATGAATTTCTGGTAGAATTCTGCACTGAGGCCATGTGGCCCTGGGCTTTTTTTTTTTGTTGGGAGACTTTTGTTGATTGATTCTATTTCCATAGGGGTTATAGGTCTATTTAAATTGCTTATCTATTGTTGATTTAATTTTGGCAAATGATAGCTATCCAGAAAATTGTCCATCTCCTTTAAATTTTCAAGCTTTATGGAGTATAGGTTTTCAAAGTATGACCTGATGATTTTCTGGATTTCCTCAGTTTCTGTTGTTATGTCCTCCTTTTGATTTCTGATTTTGTTACTTTGCATGTTCACACTCTGCCTGTTGGAAAGTTTGCATAAAGGTTTGTCTATCTTGTTGATTTTCTCAAGGAACCATCTCTTCATTGCATTGATTCTTTGTATTGTTTTCCTAGTTTCTCCTTTATTGATTTCAGTCCTCAGTTTCATTATCTCCTGGCATCTACTCCTGGGGAGTTTGCTTCTTTGTGTTCTAGAGCTTTCAGCTGTGCTGTTAATTCTCTAGTGCAACTATTATCCAGTTTCTTCATGTGGGCACTTATTGCTATGAACTTCCTTCTTTTCACTGCTTTCAAAGTGTCCCATAGGTGTGTGTATGTTTTGTCTTCATTCTCATTGAATTTTAGGATGTCTTTAATTTCTTTTTTTATTTCTTCTTTGATCCAGGAATGGTGCAATTGTGCACTTTTCAATTTCCATGAGTTTATACGGTGTCTGCAATTTGTGTTGTTATTGAATTCTAATTTTAACAAATGGTGGTCTCATAAGATGCATGGAGTTATTCCA